GTTCAGGCCAAATACAACCTTATCACCTACTTCTGGAAATAAAATTTTATTAAACACAGTCACACTACATTATTTATGTATTGTCTATAGCTATCTTCATACTACAATGGAGCTGAAAAGTTGCAAGAACTACAGTATGGCTCTCAAAGTCTAAACAATAAACTATCTCGTTTGCCTCTTATACAAAGTTTGTCAACACCTCAATTAGTGTAACAACTACAAAAAAGAGGTGCTGAAATTACCTGTTCATCATTACATACTTTAAATGAATGATCTAACATCTTAACAGCAATGATCTGAAGTATATGTATTACCTCTAAGTTACACATAAAACCAGCTGAAGTTCAGACCATTGACAACGTGACAACTGCCTGGGAACTTGTTAAAACAGATTTCTAAATCTATGGAAATTCTTTTTCAGTCTTAGATGGGGCCCAGAAATTTTTCCTAGTACCATGTCGTCAACTCAAGGACCAAATACAAACACTTATAGAGATCAAATGAATTGTGTGAAACCACCAAGTAAGTGATTGAGCAGGATCTGAACCAAAGTGTGCTAGGTCCAAAATTTTATTTTGACTTTTCTTGATTGTAACTATTCTTTTAATATATCTGTTTTTGAGGGATAAGAGATTTTCTAGTTAAAAATATCAGTTATTGGGACCAGAAGATGGCTATGTCACTGGATTGCCACGTAGCTGACTATGGTTCAAGTTCTGGACCCGGGAGCTTAAAACTCACACCGGGTACATGTGCATACATGCCCAAAATCCTGAGAGGAGAATGGAGGAGAAGGGACTGTGGTGTGGCCTTCCCCGCCCAGGGGCTTGATTTCTCACTTTCTGTCTCTCTATCTCTCTTGCTTTCTCTGGTGAGTGCACATACCCTATAGAAAAAAACTCTCAAAAGGGAAAAAAAAATCAGTTATTCTGGTTTAAAATCTAACCTATTATACTTTAGAAATATATACGCAGAGAATTCATACTGATCCAGGAGAAATTTGGGAGGACTGCCTACTACTTGCACATCTCAGACATTAAGGGTCTGAAACACAGTACAGATACTGAGCTTGATGTCAAGGACAGTGCCCTGGCTTTCACATTCCTTTATCTATCTGTATCTCATAGTTGGGTACAAAACAGTAAAGCCCTGGGCTCAAATCACATGAATAACTTAGAATGATAACATACTCAACATGTTTGTGAACATAATATGTGAGCTTAATCATTTATTCTTATCTCAATCTCAAAAAACTCAATGTGGCTATTATATGCTGTAACAAGGTTACCAATTGAGTAGGTAAATCACTTTGTGGTGCACATCCCTAATTTTTTAAAATTAATTAATTAACCTATTTATTGGGGTCGGCAAGTGGCACGGTGGTTAAGGGCACTGGACTCCCACATGGCCGACTGCTGTTCGAATCCTGGACCTGGTGGCTTGCTTTCTTACTTCCTCTCTCTCTCTATCTCTATCTCTCTCTGGTCAAATTAAAATAAGTAAATAAATAAATAAAGTTAAATAAAATAATTCTTTTAAAAAATTAACCTATTTATTCGTTGTGATTTTCAAGGTGCCAGGCCTGGGGCATGAACCATGGTCAGCCATGTGGATATCCAGCACCTTAACCTCCTAGTCCCCTGATTTTGTTTTTTAGGTATCTGCCAGAAAGAGAGGGAAAACAAGAAATCATCCCTTGGAAGAATGACCACCTAACAATTCCTTCTCTTCCCGTCTCCTCTTGAGATTTTGGGCAAGCATGCAGACATGCCCAGTGTGTTTTTCAAGCTGCCAGGTCCAGGTCTTGAACCTCAGACTCGGCCATGTGGGATCCAGTGCCTTAATGTCCATGGCTACTTGGTGATCCCATAACTCTAATTTTAATTAGCCATTTTGAGATAACTGCCAATAAGTATTAATGAGTCCCAAATACATAATTTTTTGTATAATAAATGTATAAACCTAACCTATTTTTGCTTATTAAGTTTTACATTTAGAGAACTTACATTTTATGTTAAGTATATGGCATGATATCATCTATTTATTACTAAAGACAAATAATAATATGAAACAATTATATGGGGGATTATCAAAAAGTTTCATAGCATGGCTGGCCCTATGTAGCATAGCAGCTAAGTAGTATGCATTGGCAGCTGGGTATTACGGATTACACGTGGCTGATCACAGTTCAAATCCAGCTCCAATATGCCATGCCCATGCGTACATTCCATCCTGATGGGATGGAAAAATGGAAGAGAAAGAATTTGTGGTGAGACCGACTCATTGGGGAGTACTTTTTTTCCTTTCCCTCTGGCAAGTGTACATGCCTTCTAGCAATTAAAAAAAAAAAAAAAAAAAAGGCTCCTTCAAAAATACGTATTGTAAGGAACCAGCAGTTAGCGTAATGGCTATGTCGCTGGACTCCCACGTAGTCGACCGCGGTTCGTGTCCCGGACCCGGTGGCTTAAGACTCACGCCGGGCGCGTGTGCGTGCGTGCCCAAGATCCCAAGAGGAGAATGGAGGAGAAGGGATTGTGGCGTGACCATCCCCCCTGGGGGGTGATTTCTCGCTTTCTGTCTCTATGTCTCTGTCTGGCAAGCGCACGCGCCCTACAGTGAAAATCTCTCCAAAAAAAAAAAAAATACGTATTGTAAAAAAAATTAAGCAAGGATTTCAATTTTTTAACATCAAAACAAAGTTGTGACATAATTCTAAACTAAAATAAGCTTTCTGCCATATTTTAATGAGTTTTAGATTATACACAAACATTCCAACCACATTCTCTTTGTACTTATGTATCATCTAATCAAACTGGAACTGAATTTCTTCTAAAAATAATATAAGCCACAGGGTCCAAATGAGTCTTCCAAATAGTTGTTATAAAACCATTAGTGGGCTGGCAGATGGCATGATGGTTAAGGTAGCTGGACTCCCACATGGCTGACCGCGGTTCAAGTCCCAGACCTAGCAGCTTGCTTTCTCTCTTTCTTTCTCTCTCTGTTTCTGGTGAACTTCAATAAAATAAAATAATGACAATGAATAAATTTTTTAAAAATAAAGAAAATATTAAAAAAAAAAAAAACATCAGTAAGGTGGGGGGGAGAACATTTCCATAACCAGCACATAAATATAACCACAAACACAAAACAAATCGTACAAAACAGACATCTCTTAAAAAGGGCAAGCTATTAAAAAAAATAGTGACATTTGTGGAGAATATATGAAATTTATTCTGTGTAGAAAAATGAGACAAAAAAGTATGATTCAGATAACTCTTGGCCAAAAAGAAAAGATAACCTAAACTATTAAAGCCAAATTGAAGCATAAAGGCTTTCATAAAAATACAGGAACTTTGTAAATAACCGATCAATAATTTAGAGGTAGGCAACTATTTAAACGAAAAGGTAAAAATGCCATTTTTTAATATCTAAGTCAAAGTAATCTGATTTTTTTGGTCCCTTAGTTTTTAATTTTATGAGCAAGTTTGTTCTGTGAGATGAATATGCAAAATAAACTTGTAAAAATAACAAAAGGTTAAAATTATATTCCAAAGGAAATAACGAATTCTCTTTGGTTAACTTGCAGTTAAAAATAAAGCTGAGTGTCCACTTCAAATGTAAGATGAAGTCCCTCACTTGAAATTCCATTATATAAAATGTGTTTTTAGATCTTGCACCAAACTTAAAGGCTAATACACTACTTTAATGCATAACCAATGTTCTTGTTTTTCAAATGGCATTGAGATTTGGTTACCAAATAAAATGTAGTGCACATATAGTATGACGATTATATATACTAAATGAACAGTAATATATTAAAGGACACTGTCAAGTACTGAATGGTTTAACACCTGAAGTTAAACATAATTCCACACAAAAATTTTAAGATGATCCAAAATAAAGATGTTAGAATAGTAAACTTTTATAAAACAAAATCTCTAAGCCAAACTAAAATATCAAATATTAAGGATATTCAACATGCTTTTGAAAATATGTGCTTAAATAAAAACCTTTGTGTTAGAATTGTTTCAAATTACAATCTCAAAAGAAGAGTCATAAGAAGTAATTAAATGTAATTATGGCCATGTTAATGGAAATTCTTTGGCTTTACTAAATTCACAACAGCAGACTTTTGATTCATAATATGGTCTTCTAGCTATAATGACTATCTTCAAAAACTGTTACAGCTTCGGTTTCACACAAACTTTTAAAATAAACTTAATCTTTCAAACAAAATTATATTTTTAAATTTCAGTTTACTGAAGAGCATCTATCATTTAGCAACCAAACCTCAAACCATTTTACCAAATTGATACATACAACCAAATGTTTCTTAAATATGACGGCAGAGAAAATCTGAATACAGCAAGATATGAATACACAAAAAACATTATACCAAAAAGTTACCACTATCTACCTTGAAAAAGTTAAGCTTCCAAAGCTTTTGATTATTTTTTTAGTAGAAATAAATCTGAGCAACTACAAGTAATGTTTCTTTCATCTGTTGCTCTCTCTTCAGCATCAAACTATCTGACAAATCAGCATAATAAACAAGTAACCAGAAACCTGGAGACAAATTGTTTCTAACACTGTTGTTCCAACACAGAGAAAATGTCTGTATTTATAAAGCAGCATAGCATCAATCTGCTGATTTTTCCATATTCCCCACTACAAGCAGGTACACTTCCAAATCATGAATAATCAAATAGGTTTATAGTTAAATTTATAAACAAAATCAGTTTACATTTAAAAATCCAACAGGAACCATGAACAGTTTCTAACTAATTTTTAAAAACACATTTTACCCAAATATGTAGAGAATATATATTCCTAATTTATCATAATTACCATGACTTTGTAACCTAAAAGAAAATCTTTAAAGGCTTTACACATATTTTTATTCCTTGTACCTGAGTTAAATGTATTCATATTGATATAAAGATCGAAAGACCACTAGTAACATAAATCAACTTTACTTACTGCTAAAGTCAAATACCTACCTTGTTTCTCATTGTAGATTATATTCTTACACAATAGGTCATTATGGCAAAGAACAACAGGTGAGCCCAGATTGGAGAGATTCTCCTTCATCCAAGACATCTCTTCCTGAAGAATCTGAGAGCTTGGGATATCACTTAGGAACCTTTTAGTTTCAAAAGAAGAGTTATATCTTGTTTATCTTAATGACAATCTGTCAAATTTGATCAAGGATTAAAATCAACTTTGAGTAAGTCCTTTCCAGTTCATTGTATATACTCCTGAGTTACAACAATAAATCAGTTATTCCAAAAGCTGGAATAAAGACAACAACTAATGGGAGAGACTAATGAAAGGGCTCTATACGATCAGTTGGTGTCACAGGAGGCACAACCAGAGGAAGTGGAAATTTATCTCCTCTTTATGTGCATGTACACATCTTCTCTGCCTCTGTCACTAACGCACGATGTAGCACTAGAGGCTGGCCTGTGCCTTTGAACTTTTCAGCTATCAGAATTATGAACCAGGGGACCAGCAGGAGATGTGGTAGTTAGGGCACTGGACACTTCCACTTGGCCGACCACAGTTTGAGTCCCACCTGGAGGCTTGCTTTCTCAGTTTCCCTCTCTCTCTGTGTCTCTCCATGGTCAAATTAAAATAAATGAATGAATAAATAAAATTAAATAATTGTTTTTTTAAAAAATGAATTATGAGCCATACAAATTTTCCTTTTATTTAAGTCACCCAATTACAGGTATTTCTGCTTAGCAACAAAATAATACACCAAGACTCAAAATCTCCCTTTATATGCCAGGTAAACACATATTCGAGATCCTGGCTGGCTGGGGTAGGACCACAGTGAAAACTCTCTTGGAAGTGCATACCTCTCTCTTCTCCCATTCTCTCTCTCATAGAAAAAACAAATTTAAAAACCATGGGCCAGCCTCATAACCTCTAGGGGTTAAAGAAGCTAGATCCCAGATGGCTACTGCAGTTCAAACCCCAGAGCTGGCATGTGAGTGTACATGCCCAAAAACCTGAAAGAATGGAGAAACAGAGGAAATGGGGCTGACCATGCCTATTGGGAGGTTCTTTCTCCCTCCCTACCCCCCCTCTGTCTAATGAACACATGGGAATTTTCTTTTATTTTAAAAGAAGGAAACAAACAAAAAAAAAGGCAAAGTGTTGAAATAATAAAACTAAAGTATTTTAAATATGATAATTATAATTATGTATAAAAATTATGAAAAATAAATGGCTTTGATAGTTTACTTAATTTTTATGTTCTAGTTTATTTTCTATTGGGGCAGGATATTTTTGTCCTGTTAGTTACCACATCCAGTATAGCTCTAACTTTTTTGAAGTATCACTAACCTCCAGGATTTAAAGTCTACATTGGAGAGTATAGTTAATGTAACTCAAAATCTAACTAAATAATCTTTGAATTAAAATAATTTAAAAATTGTTGCTAATATTTACTTAGTACTTAAGGGACCAGAAGCTGTTTTAAGCACTTCATATATACTAACTCAATTAATCCTTACAAAAGGCAGATATGATTAACAACATATCGCTTTTGTCATTTCCATTTTATAAGGAAAGGAAAGACAGTTAAGTAACTTGCTCCAGATTACACAGAAGAAATACAAACTGGGAGAAATGAGATTTGATCCCATTCAGTCTGCCCCAGAGTCATGAGCCCTTTATAATAGCTCTCAACTCGACACTAAAAGTAAAAAATAAAATCCTTGCTTCAACATCACCATCTTCTTCATTGTTTTTAAATGGCTTTCATAAAAATGTTACAATAAAAGAGCTATTCCATAATTTTACAATACTATTTATTTTGGGGGCCAGCAGGTGACGTTAAAGGTTAGCAGTTCAAATCCTGGACCCGGTGGCTTGAAACTCACGCTGGGCATGTGTATTGCATGCCCAAGGTCTGGGGAGGAGAATGGAGAAGGGATTGTGGCATGGCCATTCCTCCCGGGAGGTGATTTCTCACTTTCCCTCTCACCATCTGTCTCTCTCTCTGGAGAACACACACACACCCTAAGGCAAAAATCTATTAAAAAAAAAGAATTCTATTTTTACCTTGTAGCATCCTAAACATTCAGCATATAGGACACACTTACAGAAGTCTGGCTGTTCTAATTTCAGGGTATAGTTTTGTTTTGTTTTGTTTTAGGTTTTTGCCTTAAGGTATAAGTGCTCCCCTGAGAGAAACAGAAAGAGGGGAAAGTAAAAAATCACCACCCAAAGCGGGGTCGCCATGCCGCAGTCCCTTCTCTTCCACTCTCCTCTCAGGACTTTGGACACACAAGCACATGTGCATAATGTAATCTTCAAGCCTCTAGGTCTGGGACTTGAACCACTATTGGCCGTGTGGAAGTCCAGTGCCATAACCACCCTGCCACCTGCTAGCCCAGGGGTATAGTATCTTTATCAAATTCAAAGTCCGGCAAACCACCTGTAAATACAAGAATATATACAAATGAATCAAATTAATCCTTTAAATAATCATCTCAATAGTTATTTTTCCTTAGTGAATTAGAAAAAAAAAAACTAATGAAAGGAAAAAAAATTCTATAAATTGTGCTTGCCTCTGCTATTCTTGAAACAAAAACTTTCTTAATACAAAGATACAGCCCTCGGGAACCAGCAGTTAGCGTAGTGGCTATGTCGCTGGACTCCCACGTAGTCGACCGCGGTTCGCGTCCCGGACCTGACGGCTTAAAACTCACGCCGAGTACGTGTGCGTGCGTGCCCAAGATCCCGAGAGGAGAAGGGATTGCAGCGTGGCCATCCCCTCTGGGGGGTGATTTCTTGCTTTCTGTCTCTATGTCTCTCTCTGTCTGGCGAGAGCACGCGCCCTACAGCAAAAAAAAAAAAATCTCTCCAAAAAAAAAAAAAAAGAAAGATACAGCCCTCACATATATTTTAAATATAAAGGATGAAATAAAATTTCTAATTTCTGCATTAACATTAATCATACCACATAAAAACATGCTTACATAATTTAGATTCTATAATCTCTACTGACCTATACAAAAAATTTATACAGAAAATAATAAAATGTCTTAGTCATTTTGAACTTGGGTAGTCAGTCTTGCAAAAGATAGGCAAGATGCCAATAAGTGAGTTTTCAACTTCATTACATGGGATTTAACACAATAACAAAGTTTAAAATTCTTTACTGTTTTACAACAAACAAAGTCAACCCACACTTTTTCACACTCCAATTTTTACTGTAGTGTCCCACTGTAGCTCTTCAGGCCTTTTCAAAATATCTTTGAGCAAAAGAAAAGATTTGTAAAGGTCTCTATGGCCAGCACACAGTATGAAAAAATGTTCTCATTCATAGTAATCTTTACATTACAATCATTTCCAAATAAATATTCTATACTTGTTTCTTGTCTCCCTATCTCGATCCTATCTTCACTGTTGGTAGGGTTCTTTTTGGAGGGAGGAAATGCATTCAGGAGGACAGAGAGGAAACTTTCTGTAATGCCACCTGAGAGTCCAAGAGTCAATGTTAATTTTACTTCTAACAAAATCTAAAAGCAGATTTTATATAAAGAAGCCCCATAGTTAACTTTGAAACCCTATTATAGAACAACGAAATATAAAGCATAATTTCAAATGTAAACGTAATATTACCTTTCATTAATGTCTTCATCTGCAAATCCTGTGGGAATGAGAGAGAAATATTTTCCCATCTTTAACCATAGATTAGATTTGGGAATCCAGCCATTGTGTGCATGGATAGCATGAATCTTAGCAAGCTGACGAGCGATTAGCCTGTTTAAAACAAAACAGCATGAAGAAGATAAAGTTAAGCATCATGAAGTGCATACTATCATTAATATTCTTGTTTTTATCTACCTAGTAGTAAAAGGGTTCTGATTTTGCTTGGAGCAACTTCCATCATCCCCCTTGCTTTTAGTTCATGTGGTTCACATATCACATTCCTCTGTATCCCACCTGCACAATTAACTTCAGGATTGAACCCATGACTTGTCCAGAGTATGCCATCATCCAGGCCAGAAGTGACTGGCTCAGGGCATGTTACCTCTGATAAGTCAAAAAGATCTGATCCTAGATTCACAAAACTACTAGAAAAAGAGGACATTTTTTTTCCACCTGGAGTTGCTAAACTGACTACTGAAGACCGCTGATCATTATTATGACCACTCTTAAGAAAATAATTCTTTTTTTTTAAAGAATTTCTTTAACTGTATTTATTTACTCATTTTAATTTGACCAGAGAAGGACAGAGGACAGAGCACAAGAGAGAGAGAGAGAGAAAGTAAGAAAGCAAGCCGCTAGGTCCAAGACTCAAACCGTAGTTGGCCATGTGGGAGTCCAGCACCCTTGACACCACGCCACCTGCCAGTCCCAAGAAAATAATTCTTTAAAAAAAAAAAAAAAAAAACTCTTAAGAGGCCAGCAGATGACATGGTGGTTAAAAAAATACCTCTAAGAGGCCAGCAGATGACATGGTGGTTAAAACGCTGGATTCCCACATGGCCAACCACAATTCCGAGTCATGAACCGGGCGGCTTAAAAATCATGCCAGGCGCACATGCACGCAGGCCCCATATCCCAAGAGAATGGAGGACAAGGGATTGTGGCATGACCTCCCAGCCAGGGGATGATTTCTCACTGTCCCGCTCTCCTGCGAGCACACATGCCCAGTGGCCAAATCCCCTCCCCTCAAAAAAAAAAAAAAAAACAAACTGATAACCTGTCAGGATAAAAGCTAACAATAAAACAGAAGAAAGTGATATTCTTTGTTTAAATAAAAATTATTTATTTTATTTTATAGATTTATTTTAATTTGCTATAAGGCACATGCACTCACCAAAGAGACAGAGAGAAAAAATGAGAAAGCAAGCTGTCACGTCCAGGACTAGAACCATGGTCAACTATGTGGGAGTCTAGAACCCTAACCACCATGCCACCTGCTGGCCTCTAGAGTAATATTCTTCTTTTTCTAAATTTTATTTATTATTATTATTATTTACTTGCTATAGGGTACACTTGCACTCACAAGACAGAGTGAGGGAATATGAGAAAGCAAGCTGACAAGTCTGGGACTTGAACTGTGTCTTGCCACGTGAGAGTCCAGCACCTTTGCCATTACAACATCTACTGGCCCTAGAGTTATATTCTTAATGTCACTGTTGGATCCACTGAATCTATGCATTCCTGAACTCAGCATTGTCAGTTATGTACCAACAAATTCCTTCTCTTTTAAGTAAGCTGAATTTTCAAATTATCATCCTCAATCAGTAATCTTAGTCTTAACCTATCTTGTGTATTACCACAATACTAAAATCTATAATCTTTTTATGTATATGTACTTTGAGTAATACCACCCAAATAAACAAATAAGTAAACAAATGTTTATTATATAAATTCAATAATTAAGACTAATCAGGGCTTAGGACCAGCAGTTAGCGTAATGGCTATGTCGCTGGACTCCCATGTAGTCGACCGCGGTTAGAATCCCAGACCCGTTGGCTTAAACTCACACCGGGCACAAGTGTGGTCATGTCCATGATCCCGAGAGGAGAATGGAGGGGAAGGGATTGCGGCATGACCATACCCCCTGGGGAGGGTGATTTCTCACTTTCTTTCTCTCCGTCTCTCTGTCTTTCTATCGAGCACACACGCCCTATAGCAAAAACAAACAAACAAACAAACAAAAAGATAGAAAACTAAATAAATAGATACATAAAAAGACTAACCAGGGCCATCAAATGGCATGGTGGTTAAAGTGCTGGATTCCCACATGGCCAACTACAGTTCATGTCCCAGACCTGGAGGCTTGCTTTCTCACTGTGTGTGTGTGTTTGTGTGTGTGTGTGTGCGTGTGTGTCTGGACAAACTTTTAGAAGTAATAATAAAAAACAAATTAAATAATTATGTTAAAAATAGTAATTAGACTAACCTTACCCAAGACCACATATCCATGCCTATTAAAATACAGAAAAAAATCTGTTTGTATGCCAGTCTTTCCTATATGCATAGAACACTAAATTCAAACAGACTTACAGGACTTAAGCACCAAGTAACTTCATGAAACAGCATGTGATGATAAAGTCAAAATACAATGGAGTGCACACTCATACCACACCCTTTTTTGAGGGACAGGGTTTTGCTAGGCCATGATTCCCCTGCCTCAGCCTCCCAAGAAGCTGGGACTACAAGCTCCCAAGTCTTAGCCCCATACACAAGCACGTGCACAAACACACATACATAGCAAGCCAACAGAAACTGGTTTTGAGAGATTTTGGCTATACGACCGGCGCAGGCAGAGATAGACAGAAGCGAGAAATCATGCCCCAGGGGAGATGGTCACACATCAATCCCTTCTCCTCCATTCTCCTCTCGGGATTGGCCACACATGCACCCCATGAGAGTTTTAAACCATAGTCAACTACATGGGAGTCCAGCAATATAATCATTATGCCATCTGCTGGTCCTAAGAACTAGTTTTAAAACTTGAGCAAAGAGGGGAAACAGAAGACTTGATGAAAGATACATAAATGATGTCATAAAACTCATGGAGCATTCTATTTCAATGAAATATAACCCCTGAAATGTTTACTGAATAAATGAGATCAGTGATTCAGAAGAATGACCAGAAGAATGATCAATACTAGAACAGGTTTAATTTCAATAAATTTTATTTGCGGTGGCTTAAAAACCAAATGAATATTTATGTATTTTTTATAGTTTTACCTTGGGTTTATACAAAATCCTGTTCTGCAAAGTATAAAACGTAATCTTAGAAGCTGTCCAGTTAACCAGCTAATGGTGACTGGAATGATAATCCTATGGCAAATATTGTAAAAATGAACAAAATAGTATAGCCATGACTCCAAGGGAGTGCTTACAGGTTAACAGGATCTATCTAGTATGAAGAATTGCTAAAAGATTAAGGATTAACTAATTGAGTAATTGAATATCTTTCCTGCTCTTGGCAATACAGTGGCTGAGACTGAACTGAGGTTTGAAGAAAAACTCAAGCTCTTTGCCGTATAGAATATCATTATAAAACTGCACAAAATCAGCTGGGTTTTCATTCCAATTTTGCAATTTTATTTGTAATCTGAACTTAAACCATATCTTTTCTCTGGTTCTTGATTCCTTACAAGGAAAACAAAATAACTGGTCTATTACCTAGTCTGGAAGTCACCTTTTACATCTAATCTCATATGTCCCTGAATACCAGGAAAAAAATTAACATCTTCATAAAAATTTAATCTATTTAAGCTTTTAAGTTCAATAATGATAACCAGAGCTTCACATTCCAACTTGAGACAACAATCCTGTAGACTGATTTCCCATTTCACAATTTCCTATGAGTCACAAAAGATTAAACGTACATAAGCTTGAGTGATGAAGGCAATAATTTCCAAATCATAGTGATTTTTATCAAAAAAATTTATCAATACAGTTATTACTTCAAACAGATTTCTAAAATTGTGATGAAATTATAATATTAAGCTATTTCGTATATATAAAATGGTATACATATTCTGCACAAGGTAATACATGCCTACTCTAATGGAAACAAATGATCTATATTAATGATCACCATATCACTGCATAATTAATAGTTGCATAAAATATGTATCAGTAAAGATATATTTGCCCTTCTTCTAGATGTACTGTTAATATAAGATTTTATATAAAGGTAAAATTAATATTAAAAAATAGTATCATGTTTATAAAACAGGTAAAATATATTTATAGTGTTATACAATAAGATAATTAGAATGTACACTTTTTTTTTTTTTTTTTTAGAGATTTTCACTGTAGGGTGCGTGCGCTCGCCAGACAGACAGAGAGAGACATAGAGACAGAAAGCGAGAAATCACCCCCTAGGGGGGATGGTCACGCCGCAATCCCTTCTCCATTCTCCTCTCGGGATCTTGGGCACGCACGCACACACGCCCGGCGTGAGTTTTAAGCCACCAGGTCCGGGACACGAACCGCGGTCGACTACGTGGGAGTCCAGCAACATAGACATTACGCTAACTGCTGGTTCCCTAGAATGTACACTAAACTGGGAAGGAAGAAATAAAACTATCTTTGTTTACAGGTAACATAATTGTTCATAAAAACAAATCCAAAAGAACTAACCACAAAACCCCTAGAATAATAATTTTAGCAAGCTTGCAGGATACAAGATTAATTAATATACAAAGTCAATTGCTTCCCTATATGCTAGTACTGAATGAAGTAAATTTGAAAATAAAATGCAATACTTTTAATAGTAATACCATCCAAAATGAAATACTTGGGCATCAATCTTACAAAATATGTACAAGACACACAAGGAGAACTACAAAACTCTGATGAGAGAAATCAAATAACTAAATTAATAATGAAGAGACATTCCATAGTCCCAGATAAGGCTCAATAGTCGAGATGTCAGTTCTACCCAACTTGATATACAAATTCAATGGAATCCCAATCAAAATCCTAGGAAGTTAATTTGTAGATACCAAGAAACTGATTCTAAAGTTTATATTGACATTGTATTTCATATATAATTATCATTTCTTAATTAAAAATCAATATAAAATTAAAGTTCTTAAAAATAGGTTATATGGAAGGACAAGGATTCAGCAGATAAAATGAAGTAGAAGGACACGTGTCAGGAAGACCAGCTGCAATAATCAAGACTGCGATATTTGCAAAACAGACAAACCAATCAAGGAGCAAATAGGATGCCCAAGAATACAGTCAAAAGATCTTTGACAAAGAACAAAGGTAATTCAACA